GGGACACCTGTGGGCCCTGCTAGACCCACACCATGCTCAGGCATTGCCCCCACTGCAGACACCACTGCCAACTCTCCTGACACCCTGGCAGGGCTGAGCTGGTGGGCACAGGGCTCTATGCAGTTCTGATCACCCTCTGCCCCCACCCACCTCTGGGCAGTTGCCAGTCCCAGGCATTATTGGCCCTTCCCTGCTCTCTTCTACTCTCCTCCCCTCCCCTTTCCTCCCAGCTGTTGGATGAGTCTGGAGCTGGATCCTAAAGTTATTCTGAGCTGCACTGCCACATCTTCAGGATCTGTTAAGTTGCAACAAGACAGTGAATTCATGCTCTGGAGAAGTTCCCTCAGCCTCATGCAACACATGGCATGCAGCCTCTATGGGTTTTTCCCAGTGTCTGTGTGACCATCTCCTGCCCCTCTGGGCACAATAAACTTTTCCTGCATTCATGTCATGTCTCCCTGTCTCTTTGTCTGGAGTTTTTTTCCCCACAACTTTGGGACAATCAATTCTGCTCTCTCCATATTTCTCCAGGAGATACCAGCCTTTTTTCCCTCCTCTGTGAGATGAGGTGATTCCTCCTCTCTTCATATCCACTGCCAACTGAGTGGCACTCAGCTCTGGGAAAATGTTCTTTCTGGTGAAGGGGCATGGGGAGGGGAATGATTCAATGGCAGAGGTGCAGCAATGAACTGGCATCAAGTATTTGGAGTGCTGATGCCTCTTCTAGCACACTTCAATACGTTTGTGGCATATGGATAGAACATTATCTGTGCAGGTGTATATTTGGCCATATTATTTTGTTAGAGGTGTGTGTCCTAGATAGTTTATGATTTTCCAGGAGAACATGTTATCTTGCCTTCTCAATCTCCAAATCTTTAGCCTCATGCAAAACTGCTGCTCTATCACCTTTAGGAAATGTGTAACCCCTTTGATGTCAAATGGAAACACAGATAATATTTTTCATTGGTTTTCCTCAGTATGACACATCCAACAACATTTTTTAATCCCTCTCTGTTGTACATGTTAATTCATTTAGGATTAGTTCCATTCATATTCCTCGGGTTCACCCTGTCTGTTGGAGAAGTCGAGACATGTTTGCAGTGAAAGGGAAACTGGGTGTGTTTTCCCCTTGTTTTAACAGGTTCTGCTCATGTTGCCACGATTCTCTGGTACTCTGTGTTTACAATATATTTACTCCAGAGCATGGGAAGGGCATGGGGAATGTGCTGCCCAGGGAGGTGGTGGAGCCACCATCCCTGGAGGTGTTCAAGGAACAACTGAACATGGCACTCAGTGCTCCCATCTAGTTGTCAAGGTAGACATGGGTCACAAATAGGACTCTAAAACCTTGGAGACCCTTCCAGCCTAAATGATCTGTGTTTACAATATATTTACTCCAGAGCATGGGAAGGGCATGGGGAATGTGCTGCCCAGGGAGGTGGTGGAGCCACCATCCCTGGAGGTGTTCAAGGAACAACTGAACATGGCACTCAGTGCTCCCATCTAGTTGTCAAGGTAGACATGGGTCACAAATAGGACTCTAAAACCTTGGAGACCCTTCCAGCCTAAATGATTTGTGACTGCTCTGCTGGAGTGGCTCCTGGATGGTCAGGCAGGAAAGTTTCCTTAACATTACACCATATCTCCTCTCTGTAGTCAGCAAACTTGGCTTTGCTCTGTGCTACCGAAGGTCACAGCTTTACTGTTGCTCCCATCAGTTAAGCCATCTCGTTTTTCCACTCTGAAAGTTTGATTCCCTCCTGTTTGATGCCACTCAGCTCCATGTTATCAGGACACACACCAGAGTGCTCCCAAGAGATGTGCCAATGCCATTAAGACAAATGAATAATTAGAGGTTTTCTGAGACTGATCCTTGTGCAACTAATGCCGTAATCTCCCTCCATCCCTATAACTCTCTTATAACACCAGACACTGAGAGAAAGGGCATCTCTGTGCAGCATTTTGCAATCAGACATGAGCTCACGCTGAGCAGGCATCCAGCCCAGGCAGGAGCTGTGTAATCGTGTGAGTTGGGTGCTAATAGCTCTCACCACTGTTGTTATCTTGTGTTAGGCACTTGCTGTCTGACACAATACACATCTAATTGGGTGCTGGCTGGTGCCTGCCTGACACTGCCTCAGTGAGAGGTTCAGGGAAAACTGGAGCTCGGGAGTTCAGCTGTGATCATGATTTACTTACAAAAGTACCTCTAAGAGGTTGTGTGTGAGAGGATCCTGGCACTGAGCAGAAGAGGAACAGAGACAAAAGCACACAGGAACTGCCCTGGGATGAGTGAAAAGGTGTCTTTGAGAGGTACCAGAGCTGGTGTGGCTCAAGCCACAGGCTAATTGCTGAGCCTCTGGGAATTCATGGCAGAAGTGTCCTTGTCTCAGCAGTGTGAGGATGGAAAGCAGCAGCAGGGACAGAGACCCATTTCCTCATGCCCAAAATGCTCTGCACCTTAGCTGCCTGTGCTCCTCACAAACACAAATTTAATGGCTGGACTTGGTGATCTTAGAGGTCTTTTCCAATCTAAAGGATTCTATGATACTTGGGACAGGGGTTGGGCTCTTGTCTGGGCCCTGCAAACTCCATTCCCTTCCCAGACCTGTCCTAAAAAGTCTAGGGCCATGAGGACAGGAAGGATGGAGGGTTGACACCAAAAAATTGTACATTTATGTGTGAAGCTTTTCTTTGAAAGAGTCTCAGTGAAGGAAGAGCTAAATCCTCTCTAATGCATTAGTTCATGTTCTTTTTACTTCACTCAGGCACAGCATCCCTGGGGCAACTGTGATCACAGCAGTGATTAACAAAAAAAAGGGCAGGTAGTGCTTCACCTTTGCTCATCAGATACCTATCTTAGAAATTGTTTCCCATTGTTTCCCTTCTTCCTCTATTTCCTTCTCAGAAGATGCTTTGACAGAACTTCAGGCCACATTTTTTTCATTTGTCTTTTAAGGCAGTTTGGTGATTTCTAGTACCTTGTCTAGAAGATGTAACATTAAAGGAATTCCAGCACAGGACACTCCAAGAATCCCACCTTGTGCCTGAGAGAGCTGTCCAAATGCTCCTTGAGTTCTGTCAGGCCTGGGGCCACGACCACTGCCCATGGGAAGCTGTTCCAATGTCCAACTGGAACTCTAACAACTAGAAAAATTCATGTGAGGGACACAATAATGTCAGCTTAGTAACAATGAAGAACTGGACAGAGAGGATTCTCAGCTGCAGGACCATCTGTGGGGGCTGCCCAAAGGCAGCTCAGCCCAGCTCTGGTGGGGATGAGATTTCCCCATGGCCACATGCAGGGTGAGGGAGCTCTGCAGCCACAGAAGAACCAGAGAGGCAGAAGTTGGATGCAGGATTTTTTTTATTACAAGGGCAGGAAAGCCCCCACTGGACAAACACACATAAGGCAAAGACAGGTAGGTTGCCCCCCATGCTTCATAAGAGATGTTCCTTCAGGTTTGTCTCCAGAGGCAGCAGTTTCAGGGAGAAGCCAGTGGGTGGGGGAGTCACAGATTTGGCCACTGGCAGGGGCAAGGAGGAGGAGATGAAACACAGGAAGAAGGAAATGAGGAGAGGAGTTTCTAGAGGTATTCTGACTCCACTGTATTAAGTAGAAGTCTTTGATGCTCTGCTCCTTCCTCAGGAGCTCAGGTGAGGATCCAAACAGTATCATTTGCCAGAGTTCTTCAGTCGAGGGATGTGTCTG